GGTAGTAGGGAATAAAGGAAAGTTTGGATGTGCATTAAACGATAAGTGGCATTTTATCTCTAGAAAAAAGCATTATTATGCAAAAGTAATCAAATAATCAAAAGAATAATTTTGCTTAAAAGAAATGTTTTCTTTCGAAATGACTATAATTGTTTTTTAGGTTCATACTAGCTAGAACATATATGAAACAAGCTAACTTGTCAAAGCATAAATATTTATCGTATATACATCTCAATAAATTCCTGCAGCGATTATGAAATACACGATGCAGGATTTGTCTATCATCCTATAGTGATTTATCAATTGAAGTACTTAAGCTTATTTCCTTTCTTATTCATATCGACTCTAATTTTCATATTTACTCGCCCTAACTGAAGTGCGGGTAGGTGTGTCAATGCAATTAAAGTGCATGACGTGAAATAGCGTCTTAGAATGATGCGAAATCGCGGTGAATCAAATAAAACAAAAATGCAATTTTTTGCAAGCTTAATGTCACTCAAAATTTCATTCATCACTACAAAATTTAAATTAACGTAAAGAAATTTCATGTAAATTAAAATTAGGCAAAAAGGCAACCTTAATTTGACTGTATACAAACTTATGAAATTACTGTATACAAACTCATGTAAATTAAAATTAGGCAAAAAGGCAACCTTAATTTGACTTAGATTTTTATAAATCTACGCCAAACTAAGGTACGCCAAAACTGATAAAAATAACTTCGAAAACCCAACCATTCTCAAGGATTTGAATTCGACATGAACCGTCAGTGTGCAACTCTCTTATCAATTTGTACACGAGTGGACAAATGCTTTAGAAAGACTTTAGAGTGATAGAAATTAAGACGACTGGGCTGACTTAAGCAATAAGATGCTCGTATTTCATTGCTTTTTGAGAGGATGCATACATTAATGAGACAACGTAAATTCTATTCCATGCACCCAAAGAAAACTAAATGAAGGATTTGACAACATAATGTTTCTGAAATAATTAAATTAATTAAAAAGTAAAGAGAAGGGGATAACAGCTATCCCTAACCAATTAAAATTACCCATAAATTAATATTTACGATAGATAAATATGTATAGAAATATTAGTACAGAAAGTTCCTCATAAAAATGTTTGACTACAGATTCTTCAAAATATTCCATCGCTAACAATTACAACTTCCTATTTGTAAAGCGGAACTTTTTTTGTAGCAGTAGACGTGAAAAGTGTGCTGTGCCCTCTCCGGATTTCGAACACTAGACCTCGCTAACTTAGCCATACGTACTAGCCAATTATACCACGAAGGCAAGCGGTAAAGAGTGCTAGCCAGTTATAAAACCAATATATTCACTAAATTTGCAAGCGGTAAGAAGTTAGGCTTACCGAATTACAAAGCTAATGTATTCGCTAAATTTGCAAACGGTAAGGACTACCAAAACTTAAGCGCGAAGGCGTACTAGCTAATTACACCACGAAGGCAAGCAGTAAGGAGGGAGGAAATACGTTATTACCTAAGCAAATAAAGTTTCTGTACGGTCCCCAATGAATCGCTAGATATAAAACTAAAATTATAAAATTTGAAATGTATAAATCTTAATAAGCATTATAATTTCTAAAATGTAGGTATAACATTCAGAAAAGAATATTAGTTTTGAAAAATCTAAAAGCAGCTTATTACAGTGCTTTCAAATATTGGAAAAAAAAAAAAAGTTTAATCAACAGTTTTGAAACTGAGAATATTAACAACCTCAGTTTCAAAACAATTTTCTAAGCAGATTTTTACCCCTTTTCACCTATTTATACATAGCTTTATCTTGCTTGCTAAAAGCTTGACTTGAGCAGAAAAGCGCATGATCTATGAATAAAGTAAAATAGATTCGTGCACTGCAAAAACATGACAAAAAGACTTGTTTGATGAACACGCGTGAAAATAAACGACTAAATCAAAATGTCAATGAAAAAAGTTTTAACTTTTTTTTTTTTTTGGCTCTAACGTATTATACTTCCTTCTGCATTTTCTCATGCTCCACTTATTTTACTTTCTCCAAAAAATGAACATCTTCCGCCAGAAGGCATTTCTTTCTTTTCCAGCGTTTGAATTCAATCCCTCCCGTTTCGCCGAGTGCTTTGATGCGTGCCTATCGTATCGTGAGAAGAGTATAATACGATTTAAACAACGAAATGTGTGAAAGAAAGTTTGACCTTCAAAATTTCGGGAAGTAGGTTCAGTTTTCCATAATTGTTCTCTGGCGATGGCGCCTAAAGCATAATGCCGTGTAATACAATATATTCTCTGCGGGAATGTAACATTTTTTATTTTATTCTTTACGATGAAAAGATAATGCAAGATAAAGGTTAAGCTAATTTCATTTTATCAAGGTAAAGGGCAGTTATGATTTTCAGAATATTATGTTAATTTTTGAAAAAAAAATCAAAGAGAAGAGGTGTCTAAACTAGATATTTTTCAGGGCCAGGTACTTGCACATTAAGTACTAGCTAGGAATAGCTGATCCCATCAGCCATTCAATCGACTCATCAGTGGGAGCTTTTCTCGGGGTGTACTACAAGACATGAACCGATATTACACCCGCAAGAAGGTAGATTATAGACAATTACAAATATCCATGCTTTCTTTGAGATTCGAATCTAGGTTTAATTATATAGCAGCCGAAACCGCCTATCTGTATACCGAACAAGGCAACAATATAAGTATACTAGTAACCCATATTATAGCATAGGTTCACAGACATTTTCGAAACAAGCGAACACCCGGAGCGAAATGGTTATTACAAAGGCGCAAAGAAAAAGGTCTAGTTTTTAGTTCAAAGGGGCAATTTGCTCTGAAGGATTATTAATTTCGTTTTGGCATTTTTTGTCGAAAACTTTAAAAGGCTGTATCACTCTTCAAATCGTTGCCACCATATATTATCGCCCTGCCTCATATTTAAAGAAATTAAATAATGAAGGATCTGCATAAATGTATGTATGTTTCTCGCATTGTGATAAAACAACGGTACCTAAAGCCAACAAAATTTGAATAACGCAATCTTCCATAGAATATGGGCATGTGGAATCCCTAATTTAAATTTGAAATTTGTTTTATTATCAGTTTCAGATTTTGTAACACTTTGACGAATTTTTGATTAAAAAAACTAAACGATTTCAAAGCGAGCAATGGCGACACTGTACGGAAAAAAATATTTTTATCTCCATCGCGCGAGACTCTGTATCAGAAATTCTAAAGATAGGCCCATTTTAAAATTAATTTGCGATATTGCTGTTGAACTGAATTTTATAGTTTGAGTACGTAGAACATTATATTTAATAAATAAAAGTAATACACAAAACGTTAAAAAATGCCCCTTTGGACGTAATTTAAAACCTGAAACCTTTCAGAATTTTTTTTAACAAAAATGACAGTTAGTCCATGCTGCCTTAAAATCCGATTCTCCACGTATTCATCATAAGACAGGAATTCTGTCTAACGGACATTGTTAATCATTAATTGTTTATAAAAAGTGCTCGTAAGCTTATCTAATTTCTAAAATACTTTCAAGAAGATAACGTCGAAAAATTCGAATTCATTCAAGACACATTTATAAGATCAAAGACTGGTTTTTTTTTTTTTTTTTTTTTTTTCTCCGAAGTTAAAAATCACGATATAGTTCGACTGGAACTGATCTCCTATCACGGACTTTTCAAAAGCAATGATGGTGAACAAGTCGTGCAATGTGAAATTTGGCGTGCAGGGATAGGGTTAAAGTAGGTGGAGGGATGAGGTAAAGGTAAAAACGTTTAGGTTCTCACGATCTTAACAATGTCAATGTGCGCATTATCATATATGATATCTTCTCAGAGATTAGGAAGAGATTTTGCCTTAATTACATAATGAAATCGAAATCCTAACAAGTTAAATATCAACTGGTTTAAATCAGTTAGTGGCCAAAGGGAAACGAAAGTATATATTGCTCAGCTTTAGGCGCAGTTTATAGCAGTCTTGCTTGTTTTTAGTATGTGAATATTGATGGTTATCGCAAGGAAAACTTTCCCGATATCCGAGCCCCTAGCAACCTATCCGCTGAACTAATCGAAATGAAACTTCACGTATTCTTACTTTAAGGTATGCGTTCGATGTGATGATTTAAAACTATAGAGCTTTCATGGTTTCTGTTACAATGAAAATATTTCGAAATTTTCGAAAAGCAACACCCACTTTTTTCCTGGGAAAATTCATCAGTGCATTGAAAAACCATAAATGGCGTTGGAACGCTACACGTATGACGAAAAGTGCCGGCGTAAACTTTTGCAATGAAGACCAATGATAGCACTAGCACTAGAAGAGGACCAATGATAGCACTAGCACAAGAGAAGTAAAAATCTTCTCTTGTGCTAGTGCTATCATTGGTCCTCTTCTAGTGCTAGTGCTATCAATAGTAAAAATCTTTTATTGGAATCAAAATATCATTTATCAAATAGTAAAAATCTTTTATTGGAATTACAAGCTTTCAATGTGCCCACCTTCGCAGACGATAACGCACTGCATGTAGGAGATTCTTTCACAACAATTACAAACGCAACATCGCAGGAGGAATCTGTATAGCTTCCCGTTTTATAGGATCTTTCAATTATGACAAATCTCGTGGGTTGGATATACATCTTAGAATTCAAATAATCCCAAAACCAGAAATCCATCGGAATTAGGTAGGGGGATCGTGGTGGCCACACCTGGTCTATAAAGTTCCAACAGTTACAAGAGAGGATTCTATCACTAAAGTACACGTTAAAAACCTGTTATAAAAGTAGTTTTCTATAATCACAAACTAAAACTAAATGCTTAACAGTTAAATAAAAGGCTAATCGCATTTCTCCTCGCTAGAAACTATGAAATTCCGTCTGGTTGAGAGCCCCTGGTCTATAGTTCTTATATACACAAATTTGGATGTTCAATAATAAATATTATGCAGTTTGAAAAAAAATATATCAAGACTAACAAGAATTAATTTTGTACTTACCATAGAAGTATGTGAGAATAATAACCCGCTAGCCTGTAACGTCTTCCCCAACAGAAACCTTCCAGTTCCTGAGTGAAATATTCTGCAATGGTGAGCAACGGGAATGGAAGACCTTTCACTAGGGCATGCCTGTACTCCTGTTTCATTTCTGTGGCTGAAATAGTAGCAGTTGTTTAGTATATTGTTTACCTACATGAATTAAGTTATACATATTTTTGAAAATATTGCATAGCATCCACAGTTTTGGAGACAGAAGGCATCTTCTGCTTTCATTATATATTCTAGTCAGCAGCTATGCAGCATATATGCAGCTGGATCCATAGCCGTAACGATTTTTCATTTTGCAAATGCAAAACGTTTCCTTTTACATTTCAAAACGCATAAAACATTATTATTTCTTATTCAAACTCTTAATTTATGTTTGAAATATACGCCATTATAAGACAGAAGTGCATCATACATCCATTTTCGATTTCAACTAAAACCTGCATAATACAAGAATGATTATGCCAAGAAACTTTATGGGTAACAGCAACAAAATGACAGGGTAAAATCTTAGTGGTTCTATGTCATTTCACAATCATTATTTACAAGTCTGCATTAATTTTGCTAAAGTGTATATTTATTGTAGACAATTTTATTTAATTTCTGCGAATTATTTTTGTTCTTGTTGCGAAAAGTTTCTTGATTATCTTACGCACATTATGTATTGTACTTATCTTTTTATGAGTCTCATTAAGATCCGTGTGTTTTACTTTCATTAAGACCTGCGCATATAATCAGTTAATTTACTTTAACACGTGACTAAATCAAAGCACGTTTCCTTATTACTACTGTCTCTTGAAAATAAGAAAATCTCATCGGAGGCTTTATAATAAAATATGCCAACCACCATAAAACCCTTTACCGTTGAAAAAATGTTTTTTTTATTACTATTAGTGGCTGCTTTGTGAACTTTTAAGCAGCTTTTTGGCGCAATTTGACAATAAAAAAAATGTTCCTGCATACCCGCAGTGTCCTTTATAGCTCATTAAATTCTACTAAGCATAAATCTTGGTATATAACTGCATCATCATAAAAAAGGAAATAAAATATTCTTTTATTTACGATGCATTCCTGACTTGAAGCTGACTTCCGTGTGTCACACTAAAGACATGATTTTTTTAATGCGAGCTCATCACGCTTAATTCTAACGGCTAAAAGACTAGAAATATAATTTCTGAAAGAATCGCTGTTAGAATACTGAAGATTAATGTTATTATTTCCCTCTTGGACGAATAAGCAAAAACAATTAAGAGCATTAATTATAGTATTTCATAGTTTTTTTACAAACTATACTAATTAAATTTTCTTTCTTTCTTTTTTCTTTTTTTTAACTCTAATTTCTACTTTTCGTGTCCACAAAGTTACAGCACAAAGTAAGTTACAACACTAACAAAATCAATAAATAAATGTAATAATATATGTAATAAAATAGCACTGCAGAATAGAAAAAATAACTTAGTAAAATAAACAGAAGTCAATAATCTAAAAAGAGAATAAAATTCTGAAAAGCAGAAATTCTCCCTTTAGTCCGAAAAGTTCAGAAAAAATTGGTGACAAAGATACAGACAGGCGCTTCAAAGTTGCTTTCTGCTGGACGCGATGAACGCGTTCAAAGATAGTATGCTTTACATCTTCATCGCCGCTGCCGCAGCTGCACAAAGCATTTCAAGCAAGTTCCATCGCTTTAAATAGCTGTTTAAATTGTGAGGCCCAGTTAAAAATTCAGCTACTTCAAAATCTGTTGAAAACTGATCAACTTGTATTCTGTGAAAGATTATAGGAAAATATCATTTTGGCCCATTGTGCTTTTGGTGAGGCCAGATATCCTCTGTTCCAAATACAGATAGCATCGTTTCTATAAAAGTGCCTCTAGTGAGAAACAGGAGTACAGAGATTTAAACCAATGTGAAGTTTCGTGATTTCTCGATAATGAACGCAGCGAGACTTGGTGCGTAGTTAAGGTAATTACTAATAAATAATTGTTTGATAATATTTTCTCATAAATGGTGGACTTCAGTTGGGAATGTCGTTTGTTCCCATCAAATGTAATGATATATATTTTATTTCTGGAAAGCATTCAAATTATGCTTTGCTCTGAAAAGAGTATGACAAACTTCTCAATAAAACTGATAGTGGATTCTAATAAAACAAACCTTCTAGATCCTAACGTATCATATAATGGAAGTCTTAAACAACTTGATAAAAGGATAGTACATGAATAACTCTGATAGTCGTAATTCAAATTAGTTTTCTATTTTAAGTTCATTCCCTTCTTTCTTGGTCTTATTTGTTTTTTTCCTATCACATTCGATTGACTAAGAGTAGCGATTCGAATTGACTAAAAGAAAAAATTCCTTTTGATCGTAAATTTACGATTTCACTTAAAGGAACGACTGAACTAATATAGGCTTTCAAACTACAAAAGTTTGATTAAGTCGAACCTTTTAATTAAAAGAGGCACTGGAAACTTAAATCTTTATGCAGCTGCTGTAGGTGCCAGCGAGACAATTGTTCTCTCGAAGTCATTTTCAAGTTAGATCAATAAATAAAACGAATCAATCAATCAGGTTATAGAGACATTAAGTTAATTGGAAAATCCGGAGAGATAAAAAATTAGCAACGTCTTCGCCCGGAATCGAACCGCGGACCTCTGGAATACCGACCCAGCGTGCAGAACCACTACACCACGAAGGCACGCAAAGGAGGTGGGAGAAATACCTTATAAGGTGATTAATTATCATCAAGTTAAAATTCCTGAGTTAGAAATTTTGGTGACTATTTTTAAATATTGTGAAAGACAGATATACATTTAAATTTTTGAATATAAATTTCTAAAAGATATCTTTTTTGTCAGATAAACATAAATACATAAACTTGAGTTTCTAATTTGCTATTTAGGAAATTTAAACTCGAAAGTTTTATTTATCATAATTCAGTTCTTATATGGACTTTAGAACTGATTAAGATTCTGCTGTGCATCACCTAATGAAATTTATCTCGTCTGAAAACTTTATACTTGATTCATTCTTTAAATTGAAATCACAGATCTATGATAACCTGTTCATGATATATTTATGTTCGTTATGCAAAGGTTTTGAATCATCCTGTATAACATAACTAATTGTACCTCAGTAGGCCAAAAGAAACAATTCAACTTCTAACATGTATTAGATTAAAAAAAAAATGATATTAAAACAAGGAACTCTAAATGCTTTCAAATACTTTTAGCATAAATATTTAAAACAATACTATTTTTTTCACGGTCTTTTCTTTTGATGAGTGTTATGTGTCCATATTATGTTTAACTTATAAACTTCTAATGGTCATGATATCATAAAATTGAGAAAGAGATTTCTTTGAACTTCTAATTCTGTAACATTTGTGCACTCTCACAAGATTTTGAATTTTCGATCTGTGTTGCAAGCGTGAAATTATTACTCTTACAACAAATTAAATATCCAACGGAGTTTTACACCTGAACGTAATTTCCAAACCGTGGGAATCCTTTCTGTCCAACCCATTTTGTGACACAGACAGTAAACTGTCCGAGCAAGAGTGGCACCTCCTAACCTATCACGCCCCAACCCAGACCTGCAGTTGTCGCGCTTTGAATACAAATGGTCACCCGCAGAGAAGAGGTGGATAAACAGCAGTCTTTAATTGAAGTGTGACCATTAATCGGGTGATTAATCCCTCGCAATGCATCGCACCCATAGCAAGAAGTGACCAACAGAACCCTTTCCTGGCAGTTAAGGCTCTGTTCGTCCTCGATGCCCACCCAATGAACCAGATTATTCAGGTCACGTGCCGTTCCAGTCCTTGCACGACACGATTCATCCATCAGAAATAATTGTTTAGGTTGTTATCGAAATCGCTGAAGAAGCAGTTTTGATTAAAAGTGGCATATAAATGGGAATTCGATTCAATATTTAATATTAAATCTGATCAATAATAACAATATTTTAAACAATCAATATAAAACAATATTTTAAACAATCAATATAAAACAATATTTAATAATAAAACTATCAATTTCTCTCTATTAAAGGCGATTGATAGCTCATGGGCAGAAAGATCTGTTTGAACTTGATCACTTATTAATAAAAGGCTAGATGTAATTTTTTGGAAAATGCTTTGAAAATATCTTTCACTATATGCACGTACATTTAAAATTTAAAATAAACTTAATTTAAAAATTTAAATCTACAGTATTACAGCATCCAAATTTCATTGGATCACCTTTTTTTTGAGGCACTGGGAAGGATAATCTTAAAATTTCCCTAAGATTTCTCCTCTTTTAATGAAAATTTCTAGTTTAAACTTGAAATCTTAGATGATGTACGAAAAAAAAAATGAAAATGAATAATAAGACTGAAATATTTTCAATTTTGGAATGTTTATATATAGCAGGTAACAATCATTTTCTCAACCTATATAAATAAAACTAACGCATTTATTTATAAACTAATTGTGTTTAACATTTGGAAACAAGTTTTATATTGCTGTATTTCACCTTTTAGATAATTTCTCGTGATTTATCAAATGTTTTCCAATAATACCCAAATCTACCTTTACTAAATATATTACTAAAAAGATGACTAATAATTCTTGAATTTAATTATACGAATTATCAAATATTTCTTATTCCTATTCTTCCCTACATTTCTTCTTTAAATATTAGATATTCGCTATTTTTATTTCTAGGAAAGAAGATGTTCGTTTTTCGACGGTTCTACATTTCAATGAAACGCGTTTTAGATAGTGTTACAAACTAACCCATTTCTGTTATAAACGACAAGAATTGTGAAATTAAGAGTAATATACAAATTCGGTAGCTTATAAATAAGCATATCAAAATATTATAACCTTTTGATTTCTAATTTCTTTTTTAACAGTATGCTGATTTCCTAATGCTTAATCACGACAGTTATTCTTTACATTACATTGTAGGAATTCATTTAGTTTATCTAACAGTTTATTTGTATTTTAAAGCAACTTTCCTTTGGTTCTCGTTTCCAACCTACGCTTTTTTTGCCAGAATGTTATTAAGCGCGCGTGTATTCAAATAAGGTAGAAAGAAGTATAGTATTTAAGGGAAGGCTTTGGAAG